CCAAATGACTTGACTCACTTTATAGTCCACCAATAGAAGGTTAACCAATCAGAAAACGTAAAATATTCAATCTGTCATGTATAAAGGCAGCCATTTTGTTTACTCTCTCCAAATGTCCAGTGCCAACTTGTCAGGCGAAAGAACAGAAGAAAGAACTACTGAATTACGCTCTGCTACTTTACCGGGATATCCACTGCTAACCTGAACTATGCTCCCCTACTGTCTTTGAAATATTCACTGCTAACCTCTGGATTCTATACTCAAAGATGACCATCATCATGAACAACAGGTCTCACTCTTTTACAGTTGGAATGGCTAGATATAGTGGTAAGTTCTATGCTAGTCATTTCTTCTCTTGCACTTCTCACTTGTGGGAATCTCTTCCAGCTTCTTGCTTCCCAGTCAACTTTGATCTTCAAAAGTTTAAATGCAATGTCAATTGCTATCTTCTGCCTGCTTAATAGTATTTTTTTCTTCTGTTATTCCTTCACCCTCAGTAACCCCTTACATCTTATTGACTTTAGTGCATTGCTTGGGGGTGAAATGATTAAAACATTCTTTTTATAAGAAACTACTTTTGATCAATCAAACTGAATTATGATATCAGAGCTGATTCAGTAATTCTTCTAAATGATGAATAAATTTTGGTATTGGTATTTTTTAAATCTAAAGGATGGTTTGTCTATTGCATATAAGTGAATAAAAGGATTCAGTATTTCCCTGTTTTTTTATAGCTCTTTTTTTGTTCATAGAAGAGGTTCTTAAAACAGAAACAAAGAAAAAAAGTGCTGGATTGTTATGTGATATCCATCCTCTTATACGGCAGTGAAAGTTGATCAATTTCCCCAGGATGAGAAAAGAAACCAATGTAGATCTACAGAAGGATACTGAAAATTCCATGGATGGAATCTTGAAGAAAATGGCAATAGAAAGAACGCTTCTACTTCTTTGGACACATAATGAGGAAAGAGGGCTTAGAAAACTGAACCCAAGACAGGGTATATTGAAATCAAGAGAGATAGGGAAGGCAGCAAGCCTCTTACTTGACAAGCTTGTGTGAATGGATGGTGAAAAGGGGGCCTTAACAAAGGGAGAAAAACTGCTAAGAGCTGCACAAGATAGAAAGTTGTGGAGAGCCTTGATCTCCTATGTCCTGAAGGGATGTGACACATAAAAGAAATCCTTTCCACAACTCACAATTTTTAAGAATGTCTGTCTAGAAAGAATTGCTTGAAGGAGTGAAGTAATGTTTAACCAGCAGATAAGATCTTAGCAGATAATTTGTATATCTGCAAAGAAAGACCATTAGACACTTTTTGATGACATGGAAGCCCTTAACTGAAATGAAAAATGTAAGAGAGAAACGTGAGGGGGGGAATAAAATTTACTTTTGTGAAAAGGTACTAAATATCAAAATGTTTACAATACAGAGTGACTTTTCCAATTCCTTTCTGGTGAATAGAATAAACATAAGGTACTTTATTTCCAAATAATGGAAACATCAGGCAGAGGTGGTTAAGAGATGGATAAACATTGCTGATACCTCCCACCTCCAAATGATGTGAGAAGTGCTAAACAAAATCTTAGGCAAAAAGTAGTTTTCCTTTTTTTTTATAAACACTTGTGCCAAGATTTTTTACTTACAATCATCAACTCAATTAACTCCTCCTAAATTTCTCATTAATCTCAAACGAGTTACAATCACGTCAGCTGAGGAGTTTTTCTGTTGCCATCCTTAAAAAACAAACTAACTGAAAGCACATAAATTTTTAAAAAGATGTGTTGTCCTCAATTCATAGGAAAAGAAAGATTCCATTTTGTTTTGTTTTCAAAAATCAAAGTTATCATGATTGGGATATTTAAAAGATACCTTCCTAAAAGCTAAACAAAGTAATAAGAAAGAGGAAAATTGAATTAGAAACAAAGGAAAGAGAGCTAAACTGTTATGTAATATCAGTTCTTCTATATGGCACTCAATGCTGGACAATCTTATCACAGATTAAAAAGAGACTCAAAGAAACAGAAATATGTTTCTACAGAAGGATACTGAGAATACTATAGACTGAACCTTTGAGTAATAACAACATTTTAGAGAAAATAGAAACAAAAGGACACTTATACTTAGCATCAGAAAGAGATAGTTACAATTTCTAGGGCATATAATGAGGAAAGAAGGCTTTGAGAATTTAACATTCATGAAACAGAGAACATGCAAAGACAGCGGAAAACAGTGCATAATCTACCTATTGAGTTAACAGTAAAAACAGTGCATAACCTACCTATTGAGTTAATGTAAATGGTTAACAGAACGGGGTTTCAAAGAGATAACAAAATGTCAAAATTTACTAAGAGCTACAAAGGACAGGAAATTGTGGAGACTATGATCTCCCATATCCTGAAGAGATATGGCACATAAAGAAGAAGAAAGAAAAGGAAAAAAACTGTAATTGGGTAAAATTAATTTGTTTACTTATCGTGGAGTGGGGTGGCATGAAAATGTAAATTAGCAGATAAAAAACAATGTAAAATCCCATCAGGAACTGTACTTTTCTTTAAAAAGAGTAGTTGAGACTGGCCTGGCTGTAAAGATCTCCATGGCTGAAATGGTAATGGTACATTGAGCTAATATATGGTTTCCAGAAACACAACCAGTTCAATTCCTGCTGAGAAGTAGATTTCCTTTAATAAGATTTTCAATAAGCTAGGCTGGTCGACATTAATTTCATTTTTTTTTAGTAAATAAACAATTATATCTATATAAACATGTGTACCCACTAAAATAACATTTGAGGGTAATAAAAATAATTATGTATGTGTAAACGAACACATGTAAAAGCATGCACATAGATGTGCATGTGTGTCTAGGTGGGTGCAAATTCCAGCATGTATAGATATTTATAGAGGTCTCATAAAAAAAGTAAGTTACTTTTTTATACATCCTGCATGGGTCAAAATGTAAAAAAAACAAAATGCAACTGGAGACTTTAAAAATATTTTCCAGTTCTATGATTTAAAAAAGTTCCACTGAAATGAAGAGACATGTGGCTATGCTGTGATATGTCTCATATGTAACTGGAGTTTGAGAATTCTTTCCATTTTATGCGAAAAAGTGGCTCAGATTGCTATCTGTTTAAAGTGCAATCTGATTGATCAATTATAATCACATGATCAGGTATAGTAATTTTTCAAAATTGATGATCATAAAATTTGTTGTCAAAATTGGAAGTGTCATGGTTTAATGAAAACAAAGTGTTAAATAGTTTAAGTATCAAGGGATTCTATTTTATTGCACCTTAGTGACATAAAACATGAAGGGTTATTGAGTGTGAATAAATATGAGCAAAAGAAAAAACATTACTAAGGAGAGAGAACAATAAATGAAGAGGAATTAAGAAAACAGAAGATAACAAATGACATTGCATTTAAATATTGGAAGATCAAAGTTGATTTGAAATCAAGAAGCTGGAAGAGATTTCTGCAAGTGAAAAGTGTGAGAGAAGAAACTGTTAGCATAGAACTTATGGTTACATCTAGCCATTTTATCTTTAAAATGATAAGACCTTGACTCCAATCTCAGAATGCACTTAAATTCATAAAGTCTAAGTATCAAAGAAGAAGGCTCATGAGAATTATTGCCATGAAGATATTTATAGAACCGATACATGTTACGGCAGTGGAAATGAATATATGCGTTTATGACATGTGTGTGATGTGCATGTGTGACATGTATGTTTGTCTTTTTTACATATAGGTATATATGAAATACATATATTTGTGTACCACATTTATATGTGTGACCAGTGTATATAGGTGTGCACATGTTCATGTATATGTGTGATATATGTCTTTGTATGTGTATATATGTTTGTATCAAATCTAGGCATGTGATTATGTGTCTATGAGACATCAGTTTTGTGCATGTGCATGTATATGTGTATGGGGGTAATATGTTTGTGTAAGTATATGTGTGAAATACATGTGTTTGTGTATCAGATAAGTTAGTGGTGGCTGTGTTTGCATGAAACATAGAGATGTGTACACACATGTGTGTATTTGTGTGTGCTCATGTCTGTGTACATGTTTGTATATCATATCTGTGTGAATAACACAGCTGGGCATATGTGCAAATGCATGCAAAATGTGTGTTCATATTTGTGTATCATATCTGTATGTGATGTGTGTGTTTGTGTGAGACATACAAGTGTGTGTATGTGCACATACATCTATGTTTGCATCTGTGCAACATGTGTGTGTGTGTGTGTGTGTGTGTTCATGCTTGTGTACATATTTGTCTATCACATCTGTATGCGATGTGTGATTTGTATGAGACATACAGGCGTGTATATGTGTACATGCATGTATGTTTGTGCATGTATGTGTGTTTTCATGTTTTAATATATATTTTTGCACAAATGCATATGTTTATGCATCACATCTGTGTTTGTACATGCATGTATGTATAAAATATATTTGTGTATGTATGTGCATGTGTATGTGTGTGCGTGTGATTTGTGCGTGTATGTATACCCATCTGTGTGTGTGTGTGTGTGTGTGTGTACATGCAGATACTATTCTGTTTTAATGTGGGTCTCCATCCTTTTTTGACTGTGACCTTCTCTCCTTAAAGTCCAAACTTTTAATCTCTTTCAATTTACATTTCAAAATGTTTAAAATCGTCTGTTTTATTTGACTTTTTTTACTTATCCAGATTTATATCAATAGTTTTCCCTAGAAAATCTGTTTTTACTCTCCCCACCCCTTCAAAAAAGAAGAAAAAACAAGAATGACTAAATGGAAAAAGACTTTGTTTTAGCCATATTGTCCCAGATTTTTATGCCACATTCATCTTCAAGTCGAATGAAATATACCCAGAAAAATAAGAAAAAATAAAATGTGACTTAATAAAAACAAAAACAATCGCAACAAAAAAATGGTAAGTGTGGAATTAATCTTAGAAAATCTTTTTCTTTTTAATCAGAAATTCAAGAGAAGATAAATGTTCATTTAAGAACTAAAGGGTAAAAATAAAATGGATTTAAAGAATTGGGATGCTTCTGGCTATATATAGCAGAAAGAAGGAGTAAAAAGAGAAAGGAGAAGAGATGAAAGAGTAAAAAAGAAAGAAGGTGTTGCAGAGGGAAAGGTGGAAGAGGAAAGTGAAGGATTAATAAAGAGTAGAGAACTGAAGAAGTTAGATAGAAACTGAAGAAGTTAGAGAAAAAAAAAAAGAATTGAAAGAATAAAGAAAGAGGATAAGGAAAGTAATAAGGAGGAGAAAAGAAAAGTGGGAGGAGAGGATGGGAAGAAGAAAAAGTAGAGAGGAGGAGAAGGAAAAGTGTGATAGTGGGATGGGAAGGAGAAAGAGTGATAATCAGTAAAAAAGGAAAAGCAGAGGAAAAAAGAGGAGAGGGCAGAAGGAGAAAAGAGGATAATGAATGAGGATGAGAGAAAAACTGTGATAACAAGAAAGGATGGGAAGAGGATGTGAGGATGGGAGGGAAAAGAGGATGGGAAGAAGAGGAGAAAAAGTAGAGGAGGAGGAGAAGAGAAAAAGTGAAGGAAAGTGTGATAGTGGGGGAGGAGGGATGGGAAGGAGAAAGAGGATAGAAAGGATCAGTGAGAGAGAAAAAGGAGGAAGAGAGAAGATGGGAAGGGAGAAAAGAAGAAATAAGAGAAGGAGAAGGTGTGAAATAGAGGATAATGAGAGAGGATGAGAATGAAAAACTGTGATAACAAGAGGAGAGGATGGGAAGAGTGATAACCAGTAGAAAGGATGGGAGGGGAAAAGAGTGTAAGTGAGAGAGAAACAGGAGATAAAAAGGTGATAATGAGAAACAGGAGAGAGCAGAGAGGGGAAGGAGAAAGAGAAGAGATGATGAGAAGGAAAAAGTGTGATAGTGGGAGGAGAGGATGGGAGGAGAAAGAGGATAGAAAGGATGGGAGGGGAAAAGAGTGATGAGAGAGAAACAGGAGAAAGTGCGATAATGAGCAGAGAAGATGGGAAGGAGTAGAAGAAATGGAGAAGGAAAAGTGTGAAAGGGAGAGAGGATGGGAAGTGAAAGAGGAAACAGGTAGAAAGGATGGGAGGAAAAGAGCGATAATGAGAGAGAGAGGATGAGCAGAATGGGAGGAAAGAGAAGAAATGATGAGTAGGAAAATGGGAAGTGATAGTAGGGATGGGAGAGGATGGATGAGGAGAAAAGAGGATAACCAGTAGAGAGGATGGGAGGAAAAAGAGGTAAATGAGAGAGAAACAGGAGAAAGTGCGATAATGAGCAGAGAGGATGGGAAGGAGAAAGAGAAGAAATGATGAGAAGGAAAAGTGTGATAGTGGGAGGAGAGGATGGGAAGGAGAAAGAGTGATAACCAGTAGAAAGGATGGGAGGGGAAAAGAGTGTAAGTGAGAGAGAAACAGGAGAAAGTGCGATAATGAGCAGAGAGGATGGGAAGGAGAAAGAGAAGAAATGATGAGAGGAAAATGATGAGAAGGAGAAAAGTGTACTAGAAAAGGATACTGGGAGGAGAAGATGAGCAGAGAGGATGGGAAGGAGAAAGAGAAGAAATAATCAGAAGAAAGATAGTGGGATGGGATGGGAAGGGAAAAGAGTGATTGGGGAGAAAAGAGGAGAAACAGAGAAAAGTGTGATAAGGAGAAAGAGAAGAAATGAAGGAAAAGTGTGAGAGGATGGGAAGGAGAAAGAGTGATAACCAGTAGAAAGGATGGGAGGGGAAAAGAGTGTAAGTGAGAGAAAAGGAGAATGATAATGAGCAGAGAGGATGGGAAGGAGAAAGAATGATGAGAAGTGATTGGGAGGAGAGGATGGGAAGGAGAAAGAGTGATAACCAGTAGAGGATGGGAGGGAAAAAAAAGTGATAATTAACAGAGAGTGGATGACAGCAGAGGATGGGAAGGGAAAGAGAAAAAGAGAAGGATGAGTGGGAATGGGAAGGAGAAAAAAAGTGTGATAGTGGGAGGAGAGGATGTGAAAGAGGATGAGAGAAAGATAAAATGATGAGAATGTATGATGGTGGGGGAAGGAGGAGAAAAGATTGTAAAAAGAGGATGGGAAGGTCAGAGAAGAAATGAAACACACAAACACACACACATGTTCAGAGTGAGAAGATCTTGATGAGCAGAGAGGATGGGAAGTGGGGAGAGAGGATGGGAAGGAGCATTTACTAGAAAAGGATGGGAGGGGAAAAGAGTGTAAAACTGTTTGATGTCCAGACTATAGTATCATTGACTGGAGGTTAGGAGAGGAGAAAACATGATCAGTACAAAGGACAATGAAAATACTAATTAGAGGAAGAAGAAAAGTGGATAATCAGAGAGGATGGGAATTAGAAAGAAATGATGAGAAGGAAAAAGTGTGATAGTGGGAGAGGATGGGAAGGGACATAGAAAGGATGGGAGGGAAAAGTTTAAAGAAACAGGAGAAAGTGCGATAATGAGCAGAGAGGAAAAAACTGTTTAAAAAAAAAAATTTGATAACCAGTAGAAAGGATGGGAGGGGAAAAGAGTGTAAGTGAGAGAGAAACAGGAGAAAGTGCGATAATGAGCAGAGAGGATGGGAAGGAGAAAGAGAAGAAATGATGAGAAGGAAAAGTGTGATAGTGGGAGGAGAGGATGGGAAGGAAAAGTTTCAGTAGCAGGGAAAAGATTGAGAGAAACAGGAGAAAGTGATAATCCAGGATAAGAGATGATGAGAAGGAAAAAGTGTGATAAAATGGGAATATAATTAAACAGTAGAAAGGATGGGAGAAAAAAAGAGTTTGAGAGAGAAGCAGGAGAAAAATTAACAATGAGCAGGATGGGAAGGAGGTGAAAACTGTTACTGTAGAATTCTCTCCTTTGCATACTGTGGGTGACTCTGATAACCTGAATAGAGGAGGGAAGGGAGGAGAGATGGAAAAAAAATGAGTTAACAGAGAGGATAATGAGATGAGAATGATATGGGAGGGAAGGAAACAAGAGTGATGAATGTAGGAAGGAAACAAGATGTATTATTTCTGGCATTTACTCCAAAACTGTTTTGATAATCAGTTGACAAGACAAACACAATGTTTATTTATGAAAGTTAATCTGCATTAGAAAGAGTGATAATAGTTAGTGGACATGAGAAGTTTAAATTTCTAAAAAAACTCAAAAAAAAAAAAAAAATTTTATAAATTTAAAAATACACGTTAACTGCATTTCCTGCAGGGAAACATTTGAAATTTAAATCCATTAAAATTAAAAAAATAAAACATAGTAAAACTTCCAAGTCCACTAAATTTTGAGTTACAGTTTTACTGTAGAATTCTTCCTTATTATATGTCAGGTGCAATCTAGACAAGAGAAATAATTGCTATAAATCTTCAACTTTATATTCTGGAAATAACAGTTGACAAGTGTCTATTTATAGCAACCCTATTCAAAAAGGGATGAAAAAATATCCCTTTCAGTAATTTAAATAAAAATTAAAGTTCATTTGCAATCCATAAATTTTTTCAGTTTTCTGTATTCTTCTTATTATATGTCCCAATATAGACAAGAGTTCAGTTCATCCTTTCAGTTCATCTTCTGCCATAGTACATTGTTTTGTTTTCTTCTTCTGCCTGTGCTGCATTCTTTCAGGATGTAGGCGATCATGGCTCTCCACAACTTCAAATCCATTGTAGCCCTAAGCAATATTTGTCCACCTACTATCCCTTTCAGTTCATCCTTTCAGTTCATTTTTCTGCCATAGTACATTGTTTGTTTTTTCTTCTGCCTGTGCTGCATTCTTTCAGGATGTAGGCGATCATGGCTCTCCACAACTTCAAATCCGTTGTAGCCCTAAGCAATGTTGTCCACTTACTATCCCTTTCAGTTCATCCTTTGAGTTCATCTTCTGTCATAGTACATTGTTTGCTTTCTTCTTCTACCTGCCCTGCATTCTTTCAGGATGTGGGTGATCATGCTCTCCACAACTTCCTATCCTTTGTCACTCTAAAGAATTTTTTGTCTCTGTTATGATGGTCAAACTTAGTAGCTGTAGATGTCTTATGTACCCGTGTAGATTTGCCTATGAGCTATAGTTATAGCTCTCTTTATGCTAATTACCTACTAGTTCACCCAATCCCGTTACATCTCCCTGAATCTTTAGGGTTTCACGTCCAGCATGGATATACAACTTCTCTTACCTTCCCTTCCCCTCTCTCTGGTTTCACAAGCATTTCTTGTTATGGGGACCTTGACCAATTTTTTTTATTCTCAATATTATTTCTTTGATATCCTTAAGTTTTCAATTTCAGCCAAGTAAGTCATTAATGAAATCTGCCTAATGGTTTTGCCCAAAAATAGATCCATTATTTCTTTCTGTCCTCTAGGTGTTTGGTCATCTTGTAAATTCTTTATTCTGGCACATGCCTCAAAGAATTTTATTCAAATCTTTACATTTTCAAATTCTTGTGTGTTCAACAGAGCTTTGTTAGGTGACACCATTTTGTTATGATGATCAAACTTATTAGACGTAGATATCCTACGTACACCCTCAGAGTTGCCCGTGAGCTATGGTTATAGCTCTCTTTATGCTAATTACCCATTAGCTAAATCAATCTCATTACAGTCCCCTTACCATCTCTACCAGTCTCTGTTCTGCCATCAATTTACACAAACTCATTAGGTAGACTAATTGTTTTTTTTTTTTGGGTCTCTCTTGATTTTACTATGTCCCAATAGTGTCAAATTCTCCAAACCCTCTTGCCATATTTTGTGCCCCAGAAATTTCAACTGTCTCTTTCTGATTTTAAATGTCCTGGTTTCCATTTTCCGTAAAAACTTGCTCAGTGTTCACATGCCCCATCCAGAGATATTTTCAGCATTTGCCTGCAGAACCACATCTCAGTTGCCTCA